TACAGCAATTTGCTATTATTCCATCGATTCTCGTTCATATAGGAAACTTCTATCTTTCTTTCACTCATTATCTATGATTGCATTACTTTTCACTCCTACTTTAACTCTGCTCTTATTCCATTTTGTCCCCATGAATGGAGGTCATTTAGTACCCAATGCTTGGCAATCTTTTGTTGAAATGATTTATGAATTCGTATATTTCACACAATGGCGATCTTGCGAGCACTGGCGATAGACCGGACGCCAAGCATCTGCCAGTTGGTGCTTGTTGAAGAATATGTTCTCCGTAACGACTGATTTTCAACTTTTTCTTTTCAACTTTCGATCCAGAAAATTTGCTACTTGCACCTTCTCGTTCTTCCATTCCAAGAGGTTTGGGAACGAGGCCAGTGCTGATGCAATGTCTGAGTCACGGTGCCGTTCCAGATCCAGACCACAAGGCATGGACTACATGGTATATGACGCATGCAGCAGCATTCAATTCCCAGTGCGGAGGTAAATCCTCGCGTCTCCTCAAGTATCAAACACTGACTATAACAGACAGACAGTGCAGTACGGGAAAGGTAGGTCAATCCATCCTACAGTCTTGAATCAACGAGCTACACACCACCACGAGGCCTGGGCTATACACACAGCATGTGTTGCACGCTGGTGCATTCAATTGACAGTCTGACAGTGAGGAGGTAAACGCTCACCTCTCCCCAAAGTTTCAAACACCGAGTAGAACAGGGGAAAAAGTGCTGTATGGGAAAGGGAGGTCAGTGCTTATTTCAGTTTTGAAACAATAAGCTACGGTGGTAGTATTCCCCCCAGATTATTACTACACCACCCATGTCAGCACTATTACCTTCCATCTCAGATAGCCACAAACCATACTGTACTGCGGCCGCGAGAGGTACATACCGTCAAACACATAAGCTTGAATCTGTTCCTTTGGATTTTGCAGCTCATAGAAAGCATCGTCTACGTTGTCTTGCAATACTCTGTACTGGATGGAGCACACCACATGCACAAAGACGTTGTCCTGATGCAACCAAGTGCCACACACACGCACATGCACATGCATACAGACAAGGAGAATGAGCAACATAGGGGAGAGGAGGAAGAAATGACATCATGAAGGCGGGCACATCAATTGGTAAGTCTGAAGAGATGATTAGGAGAATTATAAGGATCACTTGAAGGAGTTAATACTTGCCTCATTCCTTTAATGCAAGTCACCAGAACAAGGGGGAATGGAAAAAAGTGTATAAGCAGACAACGAGTCACAGAACCAGGGAGAGAGGGGGAACGTGGAAAAGTGTATTAGCAGACAAAAGGACATGAATTGAGTTAACAATCTTCAATCAACTTCAACAAACCTGAGCCGACTTAAATTCCACTGAAATCTATGCTGATTGTACTTCTGCCATTTAACCACATTTGAGATTTACTGTGGCATATCGAGGCCTGCCCCCCCTTGGCCACTGGTGGCCCGTACCCACTTTGCGAGCAGCCAAGGCCACACCTTGTCCACTGGCCACTTTTCAGACCTGAGGGCAGTTCGGACATCTCTTTATTCTCTTATGAGGACTGCCATGGCACTGCCGCAGCACCAGCATGGAAAGTGCTGCACAGAAGGGAATGGCAATAGCATTGGCCTTCACACTGGAAGAGGCAGGGAATTGAAACTCGAAGCTGCAAAAAACAGCTCTTAAAATTCAGAAAAGGACCCACTCTACATCGAGGGGTGCCTGTCACAGCCATAAAACTCTACACAACCACTCGGCCCGGGATATGCATTGGCATAACCGGTACTATATGTGTCATAAACTGTCACCGGTAGTATATGTGCCATAATGTCGCATGCCAACGAGGCAAGGATCAGAACCGAGAACCGACCCAAAGAGATAAAGCACAAATAGCGCAGTGGAAGACTGATATACCATGATCTGACTCAAATGAACGGACGGGACTGTATCACACTCATCATCATCAGGCAGGGTGAGAGGGGTCCTGGCGCCCAATACACAGACGAAGAGCGCCAGACCAGCAAGCATCCACAGATGAAGAGGAGGGGGAAGAGACGGGAGGAGGAGAAATGGAGGTGTCATCAACTCAAACATCACTCGTGAAGTCTCCGAGTAGTCTCCAAATATCTCCGTCCAATGTCCGTTTGCAGTCCAATGTCACCCAATCTCAACTCTCTCTCATATCCAGAAGAAGGTGAAGAGCTCCGGAGGGGAAGAGGAGCGACGGAGGACAGGAAGAAGAAAGCAGCAGAAGAAGAACAATCCTCTCTCTCTCTCTCTCTCTCTCTCTCTCTCTCTCTCTCTCTCTCTCTCTCTCTCTCTCTCTCTCTGTGGTAACCAGATACTGACCTGCAGAAATGTGGTGCCTTGATGCAGGTACAGACGTGCTGAAGACGAAGCCGGAGCTATGGCATCGCAGGTAAGTCGACAGGTAAGTCCCCTGGCCTCCGCCTCTTCTACTCCTCTACAACCCACTGCAGTGTGCTGCAGCCCAGACTCGAAGTTAATCGTCAACCCGAAGAGCCCCCAGCGTTGAAGTCTACTGCTACTGCACTACGCGTGTCGACTAATCTACCACAAATGAGGCTGGCCCAGCTATATATACTGCTGAGCCTACTGCTGTGTGGCCAAGGACTGAAGTGAGCCTCCGAACTGGAGGCGGAACTGGCACCCAAACTGAAGACTGGCGGCCAGGCTGAAAGTGAAGAGTCTGGCACCCAAACTGAAAAGTAGCCGGATCCAATATGGCACCCAGGAACTGAATACTTCCGCCCAGACTACAAACGAAAGTCTGGTTCCCAAAGGAACTGAAAACAGGGATGCCGCCCATGCTGAAAAGAGGCAGGATGCAATATGGCACCCGGAACTGAAGACTGGCGCCCAGACTGAAAACGAAAGTCTGGCGCCCAAAGGAACCGAAAACAGGGACTGGCCTAGCTGACAGACACCGGGGCTGTATAGGCCCTCGTATGCAGTCGGAGACAAAGAGGACTAGAGGGAAAAGGACTGCCTCTAGCTACATGAAGACTGCGGAGGCTCGAAAAGGAGAACTAGCGGACCCCTAACCTCTGCCACATTTGAAGTAAAGTTTAACTGCTTGACCTTGGTTTCCTCTACATGCAAACTCTGACCATAACAACCCCTTTTCCACCCAGATTTGTAGATCCAGAGTTGAAACAAACTGTTTGACATTGGAATACTCTGACGCGAACATCATAAGCACGGAGGGACACTCTGCTAGGATTGCAGGGCTGGTGTGAGTGAAGACGACCACTTTTAGTAAAATCGACCGCTTTCGTCAGGGGTATCGCTAACTCCGGGCGACGTGATCTCTCTCTCTCTCTCTCTCTCTCTCTCTCTCTCTCTCTCTCTCTCTCTCTCTCTCTCTCTNTCTCTCTCTCTCTCTCTCTCTCTCTCTCTCTCTCTCTCTCTCTCTCTCTCTCTCTCTCTCTCTCTCTCTTTCTCTCTCTCTCTCTCTCTGAGTGGCTTTTATGGCTGTGACAGATCAGTTTCTCAGATTTATTGCTGTTTTTGTCAAGGGTTTGGATGGACACTCTGCTAGGATTGAAACACTGATGTGAGTAAAGTCTACCACTTTTGTCAGGGGTATTGCTAGCCTCGGGCAACGTGATCTCTCCCCCTCTCTTTCTCTGTCTTTCTATGCATCTATCTCTGTGCATGTATGTGCGGGGTGGTATCGCTAGCTCTAGGTGACATCACGAGTCCTTATACATCATTCAAATGTATCTTGGGCAGACACTGTCCCACCAACAGCGTGATTGTCTTCTTTTATAGCTGGTGCCGCCAGCCATTGTGGTTCAGTAGTCCTGAGGCGCGAAATTTTTGCAGGCAACGAAACATCTTCTGCAAGGCTGGGGCCATGTACTAGCGGTTGAAGCCATATGGGGATGTGAGCAGCTTGCACTAAAACACAAACAACATGCAAGCCTGGTATGTGAGAGCACAGTAAAAGTGGAGCAGCAAGAAGACATAAAAAAGCAAGGACAACAAAGAAAGAGCTGCATAAGCATAGGGAAAAGGGAATATAGTGGCAAAGACAGAATTGCATAACCACACCCTGACAAGATCAGCGGTAAGTCTGAGAAACTGATCTGTCAGATCCATAAAACCCACTCTGCACGTATGTCTGTGTGCATCTGCCTCTACATGGTGGTAGCTTAACCCCGACAATCCAGCCGTTGGCAGCCTATTCGAAACTCGTGATCCCTCAACATTTTCGCTTTGGAAATGCGACTCCTGCAACTGCAGAACTCTATTCTCCATGGACAAAAACAATCAACAGATTCGACCAAATTCTCCAATCCGGGCATCGGCTACCTCTCCTGTCGTTCACCTTCCTCGCTGCCCTCTCACATGACCATACAACCTCTCACATAACCATACAAGTCGCTTCTCTGGGTGGGGACATTGCTACTTTGCGTGTTCTCCAACCTGCTACACACTCTTCCTCTCTTGCTATTCGCCAATCCCCCAGTACTGATCCCCTGTGCTACGCCATGACTTCGCTGCGTCGGTTCGACTTGTTTTTGACCCCAACCAATTCAATTACCTGTCAAATATGGACAGGACAGCCTTTTGAGGCCTTTTTATTATCGTTATAGTATTAGAGGGAACCCCATAGCAGCCACATTTGTGTTCAAACCTCCAACGAGGTAACATGTGGGGGCTGCACCCTCCAGCAGGTGGGATACATGCTACAGCTACAGCAGGTGGGCATTACCGGACAGGGTTCAGCCGGTAGCGTCACAAACCATGCCTCTGGACCAATCTCTGCACCTCCCCTCCGATCCCCTCCTCCTACGAACACCAGAGGTCTCTGCTTCATGCATCTGTTCATAGCTTTGCCACAGATTCGCAACGAGGAATCTTTTCATTAAGGTTTTTTTTTACGGCAAGCCTATCTTTGGTTCTTTTAAAAAAGAATAGAGCGACTGTTTAGGCGGGTCAATGGGCTACTTCGCAATGCAGACACCAAGTATGCTGAGGCTGCCCTAATTCTCAATGGCAGACATCAAGTATACTGAGGAAGGTACATGAGGCCAATAGGGATTGAACCCATGACCTCCTGAAGGCCAGAAAGAAGATCCAAGTTTAACCACATTCGCAGGAAGGAACTAAAGAGCAGAAAACTCCAAAAGATACTGCAGACCCTCAGATGCATATCCAATTGAACACATTGTACAAAAAGGCTGATCTTTATATAGCCTATGATGAACCATAGACGCTGTTGAGACCACTTGATGTACAACAAGCCAAATAAGACCCGCATGCTTAGCCACAGCTTGTTCAGAATTTCTGAAAAGAAAACAGTGTGTGAGGACTAACAGAAGCAAAATAGGAAAAGACAGCTGAGATGTTCTATTCCACTTCTGATAAATCTCTCATTCGTTATCTAGCGGAGGTAACGGCAAAAGCATATGCCTGTCAGACCGTATGCTGAGACGTACGAGAGTAGTTCTCCTTTCAAGGGTCCCTCCAATACCACCCTCTTGGATCCAAAACCGAATCTTTAGGCAAAGTGTCCCGCTGAGACAGCCTAAATTCAACCGCCGGATTAGCCCATCAGTACATTTCCCAGCCATTTGTTTCGCACGCGGCCGCATGCACGCCCGAAGTTTCAAGAGCTTGCAAACTCCTACTCCTACAGCCACACCTGACCCATATCGGACATCCATAATATGGCAGCCGCACCTAGCCATAACTGCTGTTTCAAAATCCTCACAACCAGGCCCAGGATATATACACAGGTGTAGACCCCTACATGAAAAACAGGGGTCGGTACCCCTCCGTACATATATACACAGGTGTAGAGCCCTACATGCATATATGCATATCTTTTTGGAAGGTCTAGACCCGCCCACAGCTGCCCCCCTTTTTTTTAATGGAAGGCCACCCACAACGTTTCTTTTCACCACAACCGCCCCCAACCTGGCCCAGGACCATCCTCCCATCGTCTGGCCACACCTGGCAAGGTGGAACATGGGCTAGCCAG